TTTCATATCGAGATGTATTCGTAAGATAAATTTTTGTGCTTTTTCTTTTTTTTTTGGTTCACCAAAATATAGTTTTTTAGCTATCTCTGGTGAAAATTGTTCGTTTATATTTTTTGTTGTTGATTAGAACACGCTGGTAACACAAAGATTCGTAGACGACGGGCAGCCTTTACTTGATTACTGAATTGTGAAAATGCTTCCATGATTATTTTTACTGTACAATATAGTACTTTAGAGATGAGTCTTCTGAAGGCTTTAAATCTTAACCGAAGAAATGAACCTTCTGTGTGCTTTAAATCTTAGCCGATGTTTCGCTAAGATTCTTCGCTCCTAGATCCATTTCATTATTAGGCTACGGTTAGAGCACCGGCACTCGATTTCCCGATTTTCTTGTACTGGACGCCATTTTTGTGCTTAGGGCAGAGCGACTGATCGCTACGATTAGAAAATGATAATCTCCTGAGCATTACATACGGTGTCACGGAACTGAGGCGATAACGTTTTTCTCCGTCGCGGACTTGTTAAGCAAATCTGGAGGACGGAAACCCATTTCCTTCGTACGATTTCAGTCAAGCAGGCTAGGACAGGGCAGAAAAAAAATAAAATATTTTGTCGTTAGTTATTGACTGATCGCTACGATTCGAAAGTGATAACTTCCTGAGCATTACTGCACGCAGTAGCGATACACGACCGCAGGCCCGTACGATGCTGATCCAGATCGAAACGGGCAGGGGTGGGGATTGAAGTTTGAACCCAGAATGCCTGGGTTCTGCAGCGCAAGCTTTCGCTGCACACGAACGCCCCCCCTCCCCCAACCAAAAGAAATAAACTTTTTTTTTTTTTTTTATTTAAAAACAAGCTATGCGTTCGGCGAACGTCCATGGTCCACCAAAACGTAGCCCTTGCGATCCGTATCATATGCCAAGTTCGAGAACAATCCGTTACCTTATTTCTAAAAATGACAATGGGAAAATTGGACCCCGTTTTCGGTAACTGGCGCCCATTCAGCTCCATGTATTCGAGAGCTCCGTCGGCCGCCATTTTCCCTCTGAAAGTCTGAGAAGATCACTTGTACATTTTGGATAATATTGCGGTTGCTTCTGAAACTTTGGCATCTGGTTCGTGACCGCTAGCGCTACATTTGGGCGTTGGGCGCAAAATGCGCGTTCAACAACGCGTACTAGATTTTTGCAAAAAATAAAATAAAAAAAAACTGCATATTTGGGGGGGGGGGGGGGGGGGAACACTCTGTAGACCCTTTTAATAAACGCCTTGCGCACGCCTCCATTATAGTCAACTGGGCTGTGGAACGCGTTCTGAGCATGCGCAATAGCTTTCTTTTGCCTAACATCAGTCGCTCTGCACGCGTCCCACAGCTACAGTGACTCGACATTTTTCGCCCGGATGATAAGCACAGTAAAGGCGTATATGCTTCGGCCGCGCGATGCAACGCTAGGCGTCGCCACGAGCCGGCGCCTTCCTCCGCGATGCACCCCACGTCATGTCCCGTCCAGATGGCAGTCTCCGTTCGGCCGTATACGCTGCTGGTATACGATGTTTGCCGAGCCATAAAACTGCCGTAGCAGCAGTCGAGGCCAAACACTCCCGGGTGTGTTTCTCGCGTGTCTTCCTCGTTCCTCTTGGAGGCCGACAGCGGAGGCAAAGCGAAAGAAGAAGAACCCGATCTCCTGGAGCAAGGCTCGCAGCAGCAGAGAGCGTCGAGGAAGAGAAATGACCCTTGCCAAGGTCGGGGCCGCTCAGATTACGACTGCCTGCTCGGAGAGTGGATCGTCGCCTTGCCTGTTGTTTCTGCCGCTGCTGGGCGCGAAACGGAATCGGAGAGGAACGTGCTCGAACCTTCGGACTCGCTTCGTCACGTGGTACGAGTAGCAGCGTGCCGCGGGGCCAGCGAGGAGCGGAACCCAAGCGTTCGATGGCGGTTGCGCGTGCTCCGACGAAAATTCTTGTAGTGGCACGTTCGCCGCAGCCTGGCGTTACTTTCCCCAAGGCTGCAGCCGCAGCCTTGGGAAAGTCAAACGCCAACCACCCCGTATGCGGTGGCTAGAGCAACTAAATGAGCCGCGCTTAGAGTATCGGCACTCTATTCCACAACATTATTGTGGGCGCCGACATTTTGGTGTTTGTGCAGAGCAGACGCAACTGCCGATCGTCATGATTCAAAAGTGCAACGTCCTCAGCATTAGATTAGGAACAGGCACGTAGCCAGGGGGGTGGGCCATGGAGCCCGCGTTACTCAGAGCATAACTTGTTTAGTGGCACTAGCAGTGGCTATTTTGATTCACGGAAAGAGCAGAATCACCTTGATCTCTTCATTCTTGGTGAGCCGATCGAAATTCCCGGTCACAGGTTGCTTTATAAGGACATTTCTTGTGTACCGAGATTTTGTTCTCCAAACACCTTGGCGATAGAAACGCCAAAGACGCGTATATTAGGGAAGAACACTTTCGCTGAGACAGCGCTCCAAGGCTATCTTTGTGCGGCAGGTTTTGAACGACCTTTAGAAGCTTCTCTGAGTTTTGAAAGTACGGTAATGTCGATTGCCAATGCCAACATTGACTGTACAGTACGTCTTTTTTTTTTTTTTATTATTTTTGAAAACAGTCGGGAAAGCATTCTGCGCTCCGTGTTGTTTATGTGTCTGTCGGCGCTTCGGCCGGGACCCTGGGAAGCGTTTTCGGTGACCAAGTATCGCGTTTCCCGAGTTGAGGGGGGGGGGGGGGGGGGGGGGGTGTTCCACGCGCGTACGAGACAGAGTTCTGATTTTACGGATTGTGCATGTTGCTTATAGTTCGTGTGTGGGCTTTCTTGCCCGTACGTGCCAAACCTCGATTTTCGAACTGAGAGTACCGCTTTCCCACCGGAGGCCGTTGTCCCAGGGCTTCGAGCGTCTGGTCCTTGACCCTGAAGCACAGGGCCAAACGTACATATCACCGAGGAACCCGGGGCCGAGAGACAAATGCGTCGAAGGGCGTTAGGACTTTCTCTGAGCTGGAGGGGAACTGCCTCTGGCTCTTGGAATCGTGACTCTCCCGTGACGCTCGCAGACCAGGCACGATATACTCTCGTATATGCCTGGCGTACGTCTCTTTTTGTTCGAGTTTCTCCATCTGCGCTTCTTGGTCGCATAAACGTGCACCGGTCGACATGTCTCGCCGGTTCTCGCCGTGGCTCGCGCGTGTACATTTTCTGCGGAATGCTGGGTGGTACTTGTCAGCGACTGTCAAGTCGTTCCGTAAACTACGGTCTGAGTGCTTCGTGGGCAGTTTGACTCAGAGGCTTGCGTCGGGGACACGTACACTAAGGTTTCGTATTGCATACGCTGCCCGTTTTGATTTTTTTACTTATCCGCATCCACACACACTTTCTGTTGGGATGAAGTGCGTGATTTTAGCGGAGCCGTATATTTTCTTCGGCATGTAAAGGGGTGTCCAAACAGGACACTACAAAACGCACGACTCCGACAAATCGTGAAAATTGAAGCGGACGCGCCCGCTTCGCGCCCGCTTCAATTTTCACGATTTGTCGGACAGAAAGCCGTAAAATGCTGCGCGTGCCTTCTATCGTTCTGCAATTTGTTGATTTGGTATTTTTCGATGATGCTGAGCAATTTTCTGATTGAAACCATGTCCTTAAACACAACATTAAGAAAGTTAATTACGCGAAAATAATTAACAATCTAATTATCCCGAACTTTAATAATTTTCCTAAATAGGCCCTTGGCCCAGGACCAAAACGACATAAGCCTTTTTTTGTTTCGACGCGTAGTTTTTGCAATATCGAATTTGTCCACCTTTCGTAAAACACCCTGTATATGCTGGTTTACGTGCCAGACAAACGTAGGGCATCTGGCACGTCCCCAGCGGAGGGGCTGAGAGGATTCATATCGACCACCTGGGGATCTCGGTTACACGGGGCCTTCTCCGCAATAAGTCTGTTCGATGGCGGGCACTTGGCCGGAATTCTCTCTTCGCTCTCTCCCCTGTTCTGACGAAGTGTCATCACACTACGGAAACCGAGCCATTGGGCCCGAGCCCTATAGTCGAGCGTCTGTCGACGTACTGACCGAACACGAGACCCAGCCGAGCGCTTGACGCAGAACAGTGTGTCCATTCTTCGCCAGTGCTTGGTCTTAGTTTGATGACGTCAAAATTCGAGTTCGCGCAGCTTCTTTGTCTGCGTGCTATTGACGAAAAAAAAGTTATTCGGCGGAGTGTCCCCTCAGAAATCAACTGCCGCGTCAGCTGGGGTGCAGCACTCAGCTGCTTACCAACTATACACTGGGCTACTCTGCACGCTAACCATATGAACGTAGAATGTGGCGTCGTTTTGGTGTGACGTGACCCACGTCCCAATGTCACATGACGTCACAGAGTTATGTGACGTTACGGCGTCACGTACATGACGTCGCAGTGTCGATGGCGTCATGCATGGGACCGCGACGCGGTCAGCGGGAAAATGTTCACGCTTAATTTAGCGAAGGAATTTAGTCGCTAAAAAAAGGTGAGAGATCTGCCCGCTAAATTTAGCGGACAGATTTCCCAGTCACAAAACGATCCCACAGGAAACGCACCCGGGCATTCGCTTCGAAACGGCGCTTGCACGTGACGCTAATCTTGTTCTTCCCCCCCCCCCCCCTCTCCCCCCCCCTCCCCCCCCCCCCCCCCCCCCCCCCAGAAAAAAAAAAAAAAAGAAGATTGGGTGGTGCAAAATGCATACACCGCAGGAGGTACGCACTCAGCAGCGAGGCCACCACAACGACAGCTGAGGGGATGTGACATCGGTGCACGGCTGCGAGCCATGTATAACGGCAGTTGCCGTAAAATACGGCCCGGCATTAGCGGGTTTCATTCCAAGATGTGACTCCGCTGTGTTCTTCATCCCTTCTTTTCCTGAGATTTTGTTGACGTTTTTGCAAAATTAAAGACCTTTGAAACGTTCCTCCTTATGGACTTTTTGTTGCTTTGTTCTTCTGGTCGCAGACTACATGCGGAAGATCAAGTCGGACGTGCCGAGGCAGCCACGGCCCCTCCCATACAAGCGCACGCTGGTGTCTCGATCTACCCAGACCGACTGAACAAGAGTGCAAAGGTAAACACGGTTCGTTACTCCCGGTACGCTACTTTTACCCCCCTGCGGACGCTTTATAATTATGTCGGTCGCCAATTGTTTTGGTCTATCGTCATTAGATAACATCTGGCAGCATATTATTATAACATAACCCGTCCCGGTGTTAAAGATCACAACCCACTTGGAGGCTCTGAGTTCATAAGGCAATGTGTGGTGGAAGTGTAATTAGTCGATCCCACGGTGACATCGTCACGTGGTTAATCCGAATTTCGCGGGGAAATTTCGCGTCGCGGTCAGATTACGGTATGTCAATTGCCATGACAGATTTTCTTTTTTCTCTGTCGGTTTGAAAACGGACTTGTTGTACAGTTCATTAGTGGATCAGAAATGCTTAGTTAGAAACTATTTATGTTCTCAATCCACCACTTTCGATATACCATCCTCCTGTCGAAACTTCGTTCGAGGATGGAAACAAAAGGCGCCATTAGAAAAAGGAGGAAAAATATTAACGGGTTACAAGTAATTTAAGTACTTGTAAAAGTAATGAAAGTACACTTGCGATTACTTTCTAATAAATGTGATCACACGAATACAAAATTAACCCAGAAAGTAACCGGTGACAAGTAATTTGATTACTTCTGATCAGTACCGTACAAGTCTTAAAAAGACATCCCCCACCCCGTTTCTTCAGTTGTCAGTGAGCCATCCCTTCATTTCTCCGCCTGACGGGCCTCAGGCTAGATGGCGGTGTTTTTTTTTTTTATTATTTACTCGTTATTAGTTTATAGTTCATTATAGTTTAAGATCTGAGTCGTTTAAAATTGGAGACAGAAGAGCAACTCGGGCAGCTAAAACAATTTCGGAGGAGAATGACGGGATCTTTTATTCGCATTAAATTTCTTATTTCTGCAAGTGTAAATTGTATTTGGTTGGTCATTACATATCTATCCGGTCGTTCATCTCTTGCCACAACGTGATGCCAACTCCGTGCTTCCCGAGATCCATACAGAGTGCCGATATTTCCGCTGCTTACGACATTTTTTAAACAACTGCCGAGTTGTGCAACGTCTAATCTGGTCGCTGTAATTGAACGCGCGGTCACAACGAACTCGACGAACTCTCTGATCTTCAGCCTACTTGCTTCTTTCCAGAGTTCTTGAGGTCACGTGTACAGCCTTCCATGACGTCACACGAAGCGGATGCGAGAAGGCCTCGTGACTTCTATTCATCTAAGACTGTGTACAGTTGCAAAATACCAACGCAGTTTATTTATTTATTTATTTTTATGTATCTTAAAATACAACACACTCCTGTTAGAGATATGGTAGAAGTGGATGGGAAAAGAACACAAAGAGATACAACTGTTCGACATCCGACATCATATAGTTCCTCTTTAAATATTTGCAGCTTTTCTCCGTTACAAAGAGCAGCAGCCAGAAAAGCAACGTAATTATATCGTATTTTTGTATTCCTTCGTAGCCACGCTGACATCATTCCTTCCAGCATGCGGTTCCATTACCATCATCTCAAGACTCGACAGGTATAATGAACCGTTAGTCGGTTGTTCGCGGGGCAATTACGGAAAGCCCCCCGCCCCACACACACATATGCTTATTCTGTCCCCTCCTACCGGCAGCTCATCTGTCAGCCACATGGCGCGTTCACGCTCGCAAAAAGGTCCGACTCCGTGTTGTAAGCCGATAGTCCGAAGGGCTATATGCGGCCCAGCTTCAGGCAAGCCGTCGAGGCAGGCTCCTCCATATGGCACGGCCCGTGCCAGGTGCATGGTTCACCGGCGGCTCCAGGACCACCGGAAGACCCCTCACAACCGAAGACAGGGCTCGTGCCATGGCTACTGGAAGAAGAGTACCCCGCGCGTGCCGTGCTCTGACATCCAATGCGGGGTCTCCGTCAGTTGCACGCTGTGCGTCCATCCACGCTTGCGGCTGAATTGCTGCCCTTTTGAACGCTGAAGCGTATACCCCGCTTGGCATCTGGTCTGCAGAGTTCCTGGACCCTATGGAACTCCCCAGAAGGGCTCGCTCCACCCACTCCGGCATTAGAGGCTTCCACTTGGCTTTCTATTTGCCGTTTTTATGATCCCCCCTCTTTTTAAAAGACCCTTCTATCGGCTTCGTCGGGGCTTTTGTGTCTGGAAGAGGTAATAGACGTTACGTTAAGTGACTGGTCTGCAGTGTCCTTTCCCAAAGGCTCTTTTTATTTATTTTTTCTTGGAAGGTTTGGACGAGTTGGCGGCGCGGGGGGTATATAGAGAGATGCCTGCTGAAGCGGCATATACAGAGAGATCGAGGCCCGGCGGAGGTTTTGGGGGTGCTATTTTCGGGGGAGGTCTGCGTGGTGCGTTGCGCTTTCGCCGCAGTGTGTCTTGCGGTGGGGGAAGTGCGAGGGCCTGATGAGAGCGGCTTTACTGGCAGAGGGGCACAAAGGCGGGTCGTCGGCGTGAGCGAATTGTGATGATGTGCATGGATGCGACTGAAAGGGGGACGCTCATACACCTTGCCGAGCGACGAAGAGGTACCCTGCGTCTATGGTATTGTGGTATATACGTATGTACACTCTCCGGCTTCGCGAACTGTTTTGTCCGATTTGATGATGGCAGTTCCAGTTGTGCGTCGCAGCCGAGCTAAAGTGGTTATTAAACGTTCTGGGATACTTCAAGTTCTTTGTGTATCTTTGCAGTCGTTCTGGTTCGTATCCGAGGTAGCGAAAATTGCTCTCGCGACGCGCTCCCGCACTTGAAAGGGTGGGTTCATTTGCGACGATGAGCGTGGACATTTGGGTGTGCTGCTACCGTGGCTTTAGTTAGTTGTTTTGCCCTGTGACCAGAATTCAAAGTAGCATGGATCTGTTCTAGCATATACTTCGCTAGGAAACGTTGTAAATTTGTCAGATAGTTCAAGTTGTTAGTGTTGCACGTAACCTTGGCTCTTTTTTTGACAGTTCGACAGCTTTTGGCCAGCCCCCACCGGAACTTCCGGCGAGCGGCTCCCCGTTACAAAGGGGTCGGTGTGAATTCCAATACAATCCAAAAAAAGTAGCGTCGGAACGGTTAAAGGATCCGCAGGACTATCATCACTTCTATCAGCCCTTGCCTTTAGTTACCAAAAGGTTAAAGAAGCGCAAAACGTGACGAGTCCGGACCATTTTATTATTGGTTCACAGCCAATGAGGTTGCACCATCAGCCGATAAGAATGCTGAACAAATTTGGAGATGAGCATCTGGCACGCCGCAGCGAAGGACTCAGGATTCCTAACCTGGAACACCCTTTGGATGCGCAGCCGAAACCTCAGTTACACGGCGCCTTCGCAGCAATGAGCCTCCGTTAGATTCCGGGCACCTCTGACGGGATTCGAACCTGCCCTCTGGGGACCCGTATAGGACAGCGGTCTGCCTCGGAGCCGCCGATGCGGCTCGCTGAAGAACGTATCGCCAAGCAAGAAGCGTGATGGTAATGAGCTACTTCGTTCTTTTAAACTGTCAGTGACGGCAGTTTAGTGTCTGACGTCAGCCCCTTATGTCGGGTTCCGAGGTAACTATAGCTGCTGGAGCCTCAGTTGATTCCATAACGCTCTCGACCTCCAAAGACAGACTGTTCTCTGTAAGCTGAACCTATGTTGCACCATGTCACAGAAACAAACACTGAACAAAAAACTGCTTTATCGAGTACCAGCAGCAGGGTCGCGGGACTGGGGGATTCTAAATCCGGCGGTCTCCTGGTAGGGCCTTATTTTTGGGAACCCGCAGCAGCGGATGCCCGCCCCACTCTCTCTCTCTGTTTCCTTTTTGCTTCACACGTCTTCGTTCCTTAGGAAGGCGGTTCACCGCCGATGCCTTCCAGAGATAAGACAGTGCCGCTTTGGAGAAAAAGAGACAGCTGAAGTCGATCGTGGATAAAAGGACTTTATGGTCTCATTCAGCAGGAGCAAGGAGTGTCTGGAGTGAAAAAAGAGGGGGATGAGCAAGCGGCCCCTCGATTGACTTTGGCGGCTGGCAGCACCCCACACGTTTCTTCGTTGGCTTTCGAATTGTTGTGGTCTGGCTTTCTCTGATCTTTGGGGGATTCTTCGTGCGCGTATCTCTGCATGAGATCTAGACGGCGTGATAATGATGATGATGATGATGTCTCGATCGACCGTGGCAAAGAAGAGTCTATTGTTTGATCGCCATTCAGCGGGCACACAACGGAACTCTATATAGAGGAATAACACCTGGGTCGACTTGTACAAAACGGATAGACCGTATCTGATGCCTTTGTTTTGTTAATATTATTTTATTGAAAACGCCCGTTCAGGCTTGCGTGGCTATATGTGCAAACATACTTTTATTTCGTCTTTTTTTTTTGCGACAGTTAATATGCTAGTTAACAGTTTTCTATTTGACAACATCCTGCCTAAATATTGTTGCCACGGGAGACGCTTACGTACTAGGGAAGGTCAATCAGTGTTAATATTGTCAGGTAGGAGGCAAGGGCTACGATCTAAAAAAAGTGCCTGTTCGTATACACGTGTGCAAGCAAGGCATCTGGGTGATGTCATCTCTCTCCTGGTGTGTGTAGATCGTCCGATAGTCAAGCCTTGCTAAGGCGTGCCCAAGGTTGCCAGCTGGGTGCCTTAACAAAACTTTTCCAATACACGGTGGCTAGGCTAGTGTTCGAAGTGCGGTTGCTTTTCGGCGCTTATATTTCTCCGCGCAGCACACAAAGAACCAATCACTGCAATTTAAGGACCGCGTCAAGCGAAGGACGAAGCCCAAACAATGGCCTGTAGTACTTAAAGAGTAAAAGAGCGTCTAAAAAAAAAGGTTCATCTGAAGATTTTTTTTTTTTTTTTTTGCTTATTGTCTCTTGTACCTCCCATTTCCCTAGCCAAAGCGTTGAGACTTTGAACCACGAATCATCGCTCTTGCTTTCTTCATTTCCTCTAAAGGAAAGGACGACCGGCATCATGTATCCGTGACGCCAGTGGTCCAAAAACGTCGGCCCCTTTTGCCACGGAGACCGTATGACTAAACTGGTGGTCCTTTTTATTAGCCAAACTGATTAAAAAAGAAGTGGATTGGCGTTTTGGGTGCATCTCGTCGAAACGAACACAAGAGATACTGCGAGTACGCGCGTCGAATATTTCTGAGTGTGAGATCCCCAACTTCAAAATCGTTGTGTTCACCTACGCCTCTGTCACGACCCGACGGACATTGAGAAGCGAAGTTGGTCACGTGCTCTCTCACCGCTTTGGTACCTGGAGGAAGAAAGAAGGGGGAAGACTAGCGGGATTTTAACGAGCCCTCTCTAGAGCGGCGTGTGCTGCAGGGACCCAGCTGCCTTGAACGGCTGCGGTTTGAAAAGGGTTCTTGGAGCTCGCTCGGGCAGGGACGGACTTAAATCCCGCGCTTATCTTTTCGGTGGACCGCTCTCGAAACGAGCGGCTGATTGGTTTTGCGGGGTCTGTGTGTATACACGCTCATTGATAAGCCCGCGGTCCGTACATTTCTGAATGGACTCCGCGCTATGAGTAAGCCGCAGGCGCCACAAAGTTAGCTCCAAGGTTTTCGATTCGGTATCGCTCTAAGAAGAAATGTGTGTGTCTGTGTGTGCGGCGCGCGAGCATGCTTTGAACGCGCAGGTGTACGTGCGCGCTATGGGCGTTTGTTTGTTGGAGTCGCTGCATGTGTGTCGCGACCGCGTGTCAGTTTTCTTTATTTGTAGTTTTGTGAGATCGTTGTTCATGTATGCATGTGTGGAGTGGTGGGATAAAAAGATGTCCTTAAGTGACTATAGTTGTATCGTAGATCGTTTCCGCTGTCCCGCAAACGTTCTCCGCAACCATATGAGACCGGGGACCCTCCGGGAACGGCTAGCGCAGCGCATGCGCAGTAGTGGCATCTTCGTTCCGGAGAGCGTATTGCGAAGATGGAAAAACGGTCTACGAAAACTCCCTAGCGACTATAGACGCTTTACACACGCGCCAAATTACAGCCGCCATTGCTGACCTTCTTTTGTCTTACCAAGATGCCGAGCAACTGAAACGGTAGTTGACGATCCTCTACAAAGGCCGATGCTTTAGAAAAGGACACAGTTGAATCTAATACGGCAATAACCTGGCCTGCTATGGTAATGATGAAGTGAAATAAACGGAATAGGAGGAAGAAATAAAAACTGAAGGTCGGTTATGGCGGCGTCCATGCACAGCTGCTGCAAAGCGTCTATAGTTGTATGTACACGCGTGGGCGTGGGTGTTTATGTTCGGGTGCTTCACTACGACTTGGTTCCTCTCACCTCGGTCTCGAATAACATGTGTCTCTTTGCCCACCTTTGTGTCGTTGCAGGTTTTGCCTGGCGGCTTCTGCAACCAGGAGACCGTCTAGTCGTTTTTGTCGGCGCCAGGATCCAGAGCGAGTTCCCGACGCAAGACGGCGCTGTGACCTCGTGCATTCCCGAACTGCCGAAGCTATATATGTGGTCACCAACGAGCTGGAGGGCTCTAGAGCGATAAACTGGCAGCTGAAAGTGACTCCAATTGGCCGCCGCCATGTTGCACTTTTTTTTGTACCGCTAGACACGTGACCTTATAATTTTACGTCTAGATTTTAATGAAGTACCGCGCACAAATAATTGCTTATTGATCTTTAATAAAAGTACCGACGAGATAAGTTATATTTCTTTTTTTGTTTTAAGTCCAGAATGTGCTTTCACGGCGAAAACTCGGGCAGCTTCGCAATGCCTCCGTTATAGATGCCGTGAACCGCAGTGTTGTATTTTGGGTTTTTATCGGAGCTAGACACTGATCTCTGTGGCTAACAGTATTGAAAACAATTGTTTATCGTGTTTTCTTTTTTACAGCGATCGCAATACAAATCTCGGCTCACTTTTGCGTCAAAGCCTCAGGATATGGTACGGTCACGTGTCTACTGGTCAAAATTGTACAACATGGCGGCGCCCAAGTGGGGGTCACTTCTGCCTGCAGAATGGGATACCAGTTTATCGTTCTAGGCCACTCTACCCCGTTAATGGTCCCTGACAACTGAAGAAAAAACAGCGCGTCTACCTGACTAAATTCACGCATGTTTTTTTTTTTTTTTTTTATGGATTCGTTTTTTGGAGCTCTTATCGGATAACGTCGCCATCTCATTGGCTGCCAAGCGTTAATGAGATGCGCGCAACTCGCCCCACCCTTCGTTTCTCAAATTGTCGGTGACGATAGGTGAAAAGGCAGCAAGGGTGTCAAAGATTGTTCGAAGCCGACATGGCCGCGAAGGAGCGAATAAGCGCTCACGGTGGCCCTAATATATTGAATCTGTAGACGCCATTTTATTCATTTACTATTTATTGGCCCATAGGGTATCTTCGTTTTCAAGAGAGAGAAGTGTTGAAAGGAAAGGAAGCCTGGAACTTATTAAGCTTTTTTTAATTTTCAAAGAACACTGGAGACTGTATAGCTGTGCCTGTTCCGTATTCTTTTTTTTTTTTTAATAAGCTGGGGATATTTAGGCTTTATTTTCACGCGGAAGAAAGCACCGTGCGGTGTGGTGTGGTGCAACGTTCTATTTATACAAAATCCGTCCGACTAGGAAGAGTTTGGGGAGCCCAAAATAATATATCTTTATTTCACCTGACAGGTCCCGCGTAATAGCGTGTTATTCCGTATTGCGTCAGGAAGATAGCAGCCGATAAACCATCCTTCATAAGTTTACGCCATCTGGTAACTGCTGCAGCAATTATCCGATTTCACTATTGTTTAAGAACGCTCTCGGACCACGTATAGACGCTTGCAAGCCGCCGCGCTTTTCGAGAGCTACTCTGGCCCCCGTGGATGGAAAACGCTTTGTTTGGGCGCCAGTCTGGAAACCGTGGGTACGCCTTAGCAATGCTTGGCTATCAGACGATCTACCCACCTTAAGAGCAAGATGGCGGCGCCCAAAGGCCGTGCTTGCAAAAGTCTATTGGATACGAGGGCTACGTCAGAGTTCGGCGAGGATTCGTCGTATCCAATCACAGACTTCGTTCCCAGGAAATGGCGGCCGCCAATATTGCTCGATGGAGTTTTGAAAAGTGACGGCAATTTGTCCTAAAACACAATCTAGCAGTGGTGACGTCTTCGTGAATGTGTCGTGTAAATGTTCTGGAGAAATGTTTTTGTTAAGACAAAGCTGAACGAATTATCGTGATTAGGAGCTTCCTTAATAAATTCAAGCTCACAAAACTATCTTGTACTTAGCCTCAGCAAGCTTGGTATAAAACTAACATCATCATATGTTCGCTATAGGCAAACTCGGCGTGGTGACTGGGGGTGAAGTTTTACCGCAAGTACATTTAATTTGTTTCCAATACTCTCATTAACACGGGTTAAGTTTGTGCATGACCGGGATTATAGGAGCAATGTAATGAATCTATAGAAAGAGGCAACGTCCTCGAGGATAAAATTCCAACGCTCTGAGTTACCTGTTGAGCGAGAATTTGATGATGTTTCACGTCTAATAAAACTGTATACAGGCACCTGAAACCAACTTGTGTTTTCTTTTCTTAAATCACATATCGTGTTGTAAGACTATTGTAGAAGGTTTAGCAGTTTTTGAGAGACATTAGTGTTTTTCTTTTTGCAAAGTACGGCAAAACACAAAATGTTCAGAAGACAATGAGATGACGGAGAAGGAGCTGGTGAAATGTCAGAGCCCTGGTAAGTCTGTGTTGCCGTCTTCTCATGCACGTCTCGCGACCCCTACACTTTTACAAACATATATAGGCTCGAAAGAGTGCAGATAATTGCAGCTAGGTTTATCTGCAATCGGTGTAGAAGAGCGGACAGCTTGACGGATATTATTCATTTACTTGATCTTGAAACGCTTGAAGCTATACTCTGTTTCATACTTAGCGTGCAGCGCTGTCAAAGCTACTGGCACGAGCGCGTGGCTTCATCTATGGTTTTGTTTGCGTGAGAACGCGTGCAAATGATCAACGAGATTAGGCCCCATGCTTGCGCCAAAAGCTTTCACAGCGTTGCACACTAAATATGAAACAGAGTATAGACCAGTGCCCGAAATCCTAGCCCCCAGCGATAAAAATGGTAAATAATAATCTCAAACCCAGGCTCTTGTGAAGAGAAGGGCTGCGCATAAAACAATCTTTTTGCTTTTTACACCGTTCTTGGCATCGGTGTTGTTCTTGGAGCTTCGTGACTGTGCATTTCTGACGTTTTCGCACTAGAATATCTCCGAAGTTTTCTAAAAATACTGAGTCTTGCAAAAAGCGCGGCCCCCTACTTTGTAATGACGTCAGCATAAACAAACATGGCGTCGCCCATGGAACGGAGCGGACACTGGTCTATAGACCAACACGCGTCCCTGACGTCACGCAGCTGCGGTGGCGCTGTCGACGGCACTGCGCATGCGCACACGCTTCAGTTCACTCGAATTCGGTTTCCGCGCATGCGCAGTGCCCACACCTGGTGTGGGCAAATGCGGGCTTGTTTGTAAACAGCGTGTCGGTCTATAGGCGCGTAGAAAAGGGGTTGCGGTTTTTGTACATGATATTCAGTGGTTTGACTCAATTAGACCTTCGGTTTACATCACTCCAGTGTCACGAGCTGATAAGTTACAGGTACAACGGGAAAATTATCAATAAGTTTCACGAATCTAATGATACATTTAAATTTTCGTTTTTTTCCCAGGAGAATAACTGCATGAAGTCAGTCGTCAACGATTATTGTAGATAGTTCAATGTAGAAACATTTGTTGCGAATTTGCAAATTGCGCCGTCGTGAAAATATTTTGTTACCGATGAGCTTAATCCTTGCTAGGTGATGTATTGTTTTTATGCCTTGTTGTGTTGCTGTTCCTAGTGTTTCTTTTCTCGTTGTTTCTTACGTTTTTCACTCCTGCTTGGACTCAGATCAGTCCGCATATGGCCTGGTATTCTCTAGTGTGGCAGCACAATTAATTTACCGAAGATTCACGTCAAGAAAACAGCTCGAGGAGTCGATAAGAGAAACGTCTGCCTCAAATTTTACTTCATAAAAGTATGACATTTGCGAAATTTTAGCGGCATTCTTCTCTGTATCAAAGCGCTAAGAAAGAATAGTAACAACCGCAGCGTGTGGAAGTCGTCCTCTCCTCCGGTTCAAACTCAAGATAATATTACTGGAACGGTGCAAATATTTAAAGAATCTAATAGGAAGTGCTCGCCACGACTCAGGAATGAGCAACGGGTAATGCACTACGCTGCGCATATCGGATTTCTCATGTCTAATCGTATTATTAGCTTTTATGATGCACCGGAATATTCCTCTGTATTGTTCGTCGTGATTGGCTGTCTCGGTGCTTTGCGAGAAAGTTAACTCACTGACTCTCTGTAACTCGTGATATTTGGGTGTATACGTATATATATGAGAGGCGGGGAAAACAAGATCTCTTGGAGCCTAAAGGCCTGTTCACACATGTAGCGGAGCGCTACAAGTGTAGCGCTGACCTCGCGCTAAGCGCGTGCTCACGGGAGCGTTCACCAGCCTTGTACCTCACCGTCATTACTGTTCTTCATGGCAGACAATAAGCAGCGGACGACACGTGAGAAGCGCTACATTAGCGCTTCGCTGCATGTGTGAACCGGCCTTAAATCGAAGGGGCTTACGATTAGTTCAAGTGGAATAGGAGGTATTCACTGGACGCCATATTTGTGGGTGCTGTTTACAGCGCATGCTCAGAGCGAGCTCACATTAATAGCCTGCTAAGACCGGCAACCTTGATGGGGCTAAATGCACGCTCCAAAAGGACTTCGGAAGCTCGCCGTCAGCACGCGCTCAGCAGCAGGGCACACAAATATGGCCGCCATGAATACTCCCTAGGGTTAAAAAAAGAAAAAAAGAAAGGGATCGCTTTTTCGCCTTTTAGAGTCTTCGAGCTCTTTGCATGAATAGCCTTGCCCACACAACTGGACGCCAAACGCGTTCCTCGTGTAAACTTGCGCATAACATGGCTTTGGGCATTTCCAACGTGACTGACTGCTCACGCAGCCGTTCGGGACTCGTGAATCGTGGAGGCAAAAACTTCTCGCACGATTGCTAGGTAGTATATTGGGGCGTCGCCAGACACGAAGCGGCACGAGGCAGCTGTTGTAGCAGCCACCCTGGTTTCGCATCTCGGCAGCTGCAGGACATCGGACGAAGGGATTTCCAATCCGCTGCCGTCGTCGACGTCGGGGCATCCCGAATTTATTGCGCACTGCGGCAGGCACGGCTGACCACGTTGGGTGTCTGGTTCGTACACGCATATTACGCGTGCGCGGGCGCCTGTGTTACTACGTCCGCAAAAAAATTAATAAAAATAAATAAATAAAAAAGGGGGCGGGTGTTTATTTTTGATTAGAATCTTGTTCGCTTTCTTTTTCTGTTTTTTTATCTCAAATAAGTTAACCCACTTCCTCCCCCAAAAAATATGACCAGCATATATTTCGCAGACATGTGTAGTTTCGATTCCAGGTGGTTATCTTCACTAACAGCCTACAAAAAAAAAAAAAAAACAACGGGACGTGGCGAGTATCTCATTATCGCTCCTCAACCAATGAGATTGCAGCATCGACCGATACGACCGCCTAAGAACCAATCAGGAAGCGAGGAGTGAGAAGATAATTACCCACGCCTTACATTTTTTTTTTTTTTTTTTTTTTGTCAGCGACGGTAGTCTCACATATTTGCGCTTCGGCATTGAACGATGTACAGCATCGATTGATCATTGCACCAGGAAACATTCGATATCGCTATGCAGTCGGTTATTAATCGAGAAAAATCGTCCAACGTTTGGACAGAGTTGCCCGTACAATACGGGGAAATGTCCACAACGATTAGGAGAAATAGAGTCAAGCGGAAACTAGATACGGAGGGCCGCGTATATGGTTCTCGTAAATCTCGTCGTTTTCGCGTCGTACGACGAACGAGGAAACGAGAAAATTTATTGGATGACAGCAGGAGAACGGGGAAGCTATAGACGCTTTACACACGCCCCCCTCGGCATCCCTCTTCGCCCGTCGCCGGGAGCGATTTATGCGAGAAATACGAGAAGCGAAACCAAGAAAACAACAACAAGAAGCAACCAAAACAGAGAAGGCGTAAGATGATCTCATTCACCGTGACTTTGAGCAGGAAACGGCCGCCGTATTACCGTTATTATCGTCATGATGCGCGAGCTCTTGCCCTCTTGGATGCGTGGGAAATTGGCCATCAAACTGGGTCGCATGCAGGGCGTTCGATCTTCCTCGCGAGATTAGGTTACGCACCAGCACCATATGGGGCTCTTGCGTAAACTAATATAATCTGCGTTATTTTATTTATTTATTTATTTATTTTACTGGGAAGGCAGACACAGGA